ACCGAATTTGATTTTGCTAAATTTGATTTTAGAATTCAAGTACTGTGCTGTCGCTTACGAACACGTGACGAAGCAAACTGTAAAGATGTACAGTTCAGTAAACCAATTGGAACTGATCCGCGCACTGAAATATTTCATGATAACAAGCTGATCAATTCAATTGCTGTGGAAGGGCATACTTATCGCGTTCGGTTCTGTGATCTGACGCCAAGAGCAGTTGGTTTGTCCACTGCGTATCATTTGGAGAAAGTTTAAATGTGCTGAAGCACCGATAGCCGCCGTAATTTGGTACCAACAAGCGTTCGGAGCGCGAGAGCAAAATTAATTTTATCCCAGGGAGTACTGATTTATTTTCACCTGCCAAACTATGAAACCAGTAATTATATTCTTGAAACAACATCTATTAACACTAAATCTGCTATTAATGTTAGTACAAATCAAGAAATCAAAACTTCTGTAATTTGCTTTCTAGCCAAATGCAGCTATCCCTTGGCGAATATGTCGATGGGACGTTTGACTGCATACCAGCAACCTGATAGTAGTTTTGAATTCTTAGATTGTGCCAGTGCCAATTTATCATCGAAACGAATGAGCGATTCATCGTGGATGAGGCCTTCTGCACGAGAGCAGTGCTATTTATCACTGCACGTCAGCAATTTATCAATATCAAATTTTTATCATCGTTAACGTATTAACTTAAATAGCGAAATAATTTATCTAACAGTCTCTCTGTCACAACGGAAGGAAGTCACAAAGAATTTTCCATCGATGCTGTGTCAAAAAATGGCGACTAGGTCACTGTATCCTGAAGTTTGCTTCGGCTCGCAGTAATTCCTAAGCAGCGTAACTATTTTCTAGTGTGTAGCTGTTCCCAAAAAATTGAAGGTCTAATCTATGAGGATATGCAAACAACAACAAGCATCACCACTACCACCACCACTTGGAATCCAAACAATCCGGAATCGGCTGGTTTTGCGACGGCAGACAATATGGTCGCTAGTTCGCAAAGCAAACGGAAAATACAGACGAATATTAATGGTTAGTATAGCACTGGTCGCTAAAATTGTTACGGGACGCTTTTATAGTCAAATTAAACCACAGAAATCCGAGAGCGAACAACGGAAACGCCAACGACAAAGCGTGTCATTAGGATATTTCGACCAAATACATTATATAACTTTGGTGAACGGGATCAGCGTACCTGGGATACGAACTCATTTCCACCGGCAAAAGACACTCCTAAAAGTAACTTTGCTTTCCGATATGTTATCACTTAATTCGGTCTAAATAACCAAGAGTTACTGTGCTGCCCAACCGAATAATCTTTTAGCACTCCAACATCCACATTGCTGATGCACGTAGCACTGTTAATGTTCGATGTCATTTGTAGGGGATAAAGTAGGAGGTGATGTTAAAGAGGAAGATGCCCAGAAGTATGTGCTAAATTTTTTAGTTACCGAGATTAAGGTTTTCATTTTTCCATCGTTTTTGTAATAGAATATCCCCCAAAAAATGTGTTTATCAGTCAGTATATCCCACATTAATTCAATGATGCACAGATGCGAAACGTGATCACTGAGAAAGTTGAAGGGCGAATCTTGACTGTAACCAAAAGAAAGCTGGAGCGAAAGAGGCTTAGCTTGTCCATAAGTGACCACTTATTTAATCAAAATGTCCCTCACACAAGTACGTACGCCGTTTTAAAGCTTGGGAAGATTTACTCCGGTAACGTTCATCCGGATAACAAATGAATTGAAAAAAGTTGACGAGGAGGTAAGAGGATTAAAAAACGCTTCGATTATAATTCGTATTAGTTTGAAGTGACTTTGTTGAAGGAGAAAAAGTATATCTACAGAGCGATAACAAGAATAAGAAGGACGCTAAGTCCACTGCGGCAGCAGTGACTGTGACCACTCAAGGAACGACTCCTACAGTTGCTTTGGATTCGGAGCAGGATTACGAAGTTGATGATCGAGGTATTACTGGCTTTTCGCAGTATAGCTCGATTTTTTTTCGTCTTCATCATCTCTTTCTTTATTTTCTGCTGGTTATTGTCTCCACCCGTTTCAGTCTTCCAAATTTTTTAAGGCTTATTATCCGATATAGACACATTGTTGGAAGCACAACAAAAATCTAAAAAGGAGCCTTCAACTCATGCCAATAAAACCTTCGAAAAAACGCTGCAGAATATTACCAGGTAGGCATTTTTTTCAAGGATATTTTAAACTTATCCTGCAAAGATTTTTTCTTTTGAAAATATTAGCGTATCCACGGCTTGTTAGGGACCCTGGTACCAGTGGAATTCGTGGCCCTTGACTAAAGTACGTATTTTTGACAAAACTATGGAAAAAAAATTGTATATTTAGAGTTTCACTTCCAACCGTATGGTTCAAGCCCCAAATCATTTCACACCACTTTTTATCGGTACATTTAATCTGAGATCTGAATATAGGTTGACGCTGTAGCAAGAAAACGAATAAGACCACGAACCCATTGTTTTA